ACAGTGCGCATTTTGATAAACAGACGGAACTGTCTAAAAGACAAGCAGAATAAGCTCCAGATATCTTTCATGACGGATGAATTTTTTCTTAATTTTTTTGGTTCTGCAAGATATGAAAGGGTTGCATGTTTTCAATTATGCTTTAATTTAGTGCTCGACGATGCTTTTATGACAATTGTGTTCAATTTTTAATTAAAAGTATTATATGTCACCTCTGAGATGAAAATTTAAGAAATCAGGCAAAATTACGGCAAATTTTGGGAAGTGATACACTTGACGGTGGAAATTCGGGTTTAAGCCCAACTATTAAGCTCGACGAGCTATATTTCCTAAGTCTACACCTAATGATAGTCAAAATAAAGTTTGGTTTGCCCAAAAATTCAGAAAAAAATTTTGGGAGGAAATAGAACCTGGAATTTGACCCTTATTTGAATTCACCCAACTCTCGACCGCCATCTTGGTCATCATTTTGATCGGAATTTGACGGAAATTTGAGCGTGTAACCAGGCCATATGTTACTCGAAAACCGAGAAGTTTTGAAAAAAACTGTTCAAACGAGCGTTTCCAGCGTGACGAGAGCTTTCAGAAAATGTATAACATCATAGGGTTTAGTCAACTTCAGCTCGAGTCATCGCCTCCGAAGCGGTGGAACGCTGAAAGGAGACCCCTTTTTTTTCACGTCAGGGCCGATTTAAAAAAAAGCCATGTTTTTATTTTGATAAGAAACTGATACGTTGTTCCTGACTTTCTGTAGTCCCTCTAACTTTTTATCGCATCTGGGGAAATGTTTTGGTCATAAGTTGTAAGAGCGGAAAGGAGCGAAGGTCGGGAGAATCGGCTATTTTAAACTGCGCGCGGCGACGGACCAGGAGACATGTGGCAACAATGTTTGTTCGGCTGAGGAGTGTGATTCGCAGAACTGAGGAAGGGGACGTTTTCCTTCCGATCAACGCCGCGCGCGCAGTTTTAAATGGCACATTTTTCCCGACCTTCGCTCCTTTCCGCTCTTATAACTCGCGATCAAAACATTTCCCCAGCATGCGATAGGAAGCCAAAGGGGCTACAGCAAGTCAGGAACAACGTATCAGTTTCTCATCAAAATAAAAACACGGCTTTCTTTGAAATTGGCCCTGACGTGAGAAAAAATGGGTCTTTTTTGAGCGTTACGGCGCTTCGGAGGCAATAACACGAGCTGATGTTGACAAAACCCTATGATGTTATACATTTTCTGAAAGCTCTTGACACGCTAAAAACGTTCGTTTAAACCGCGTTTTTCAAAACTTCTTGATTTTCTAATAATAAATTCGACTAATAATAAATTTACTTATTCGAAACTTAAGTGACGGAAAAATTACCGTCACACCCCCCCCCCCCTCTAACTTTTGACCTAATTGAGGTAGAGATTTGAAACTTGGAGGGTGTTCCTAGATCAAAGGGAGCTACTTTTTGGCCCCCCCAAAATTTTGGGGGACCCCTCCTTGGGGGGTTACGGACCCTAACTTTTTTTTTTTAAATGGGAAGACCCCCTTTGTGATACCTCGTTCGAAAAAACATAAAAAAAGAACATTTTTCGCGCACACCCGAAGTCATTATCTCAAACCATTTCAAAATGGCGGCCGGTCAAAGTTCAAAATGGCCGAAAATTGGCACCTCTGCTATTTGCACATGGATTTGCTTGAAACTCGGTATCAGGGGGTATGTTGGCACGAGAAAAACGAATTTGACGTTAAATTTTTTAAAAAACTCTAATTTTTCAAAATGGCCGCCGGTTTAGGCTCAAAGTGGCCGAAAATTTGACAAACTCGATTTTTTGCCTATGGATTCACCTGAAAGTCGGTATCTGGGGGTATTTTGACCCGAGAAGAACGGGTTCGACCTTAGATTTTTAAACAAACCCTCATTTTTCAAAATGGCCGCCGATTAAAGTTCAAAATGGTCAACAATTGGCAACCTCGACTTTTTGCCGATAGATTCGCCTGAAACTCGGTGTTTGAGGGTATCTGGGTGGGAGACAAACGAATTCGACGTTACTTCACCGAGTTTCAGGTGAATCCATCGGCAAAAAATCGAGTTTGTCAAATTTTCGGCCACTTTGAGCCTAAACCGGCGGCCATTTTGAAAAATTAGAGTTTTTTTTAAAAAACTTAACGTCGAATTCGTTATTCTCGGGTCAAAATACCCCCAGATACCGACTTTCAGGTGAATCCATTGGCAAAAAATCGAGTTTGTCAAATTTTCGGCCACTTTGAGCCTAAACCGGCGGCCATTTTGAAAAATTAGAGTTTTTTATAAAATTTAACGTCAAATTCGTTTTTCTCGTGCCAAAATACCCCCAGATACCGAGTTTCAAGCAAATCCATGTGCAAATAGCAGAGGTGCCAATTTTCGGCCATTTTGAACTTTGACCGACCGCCATTTTGAAATGGTTTGAGATAATGACTTCTGGTTTGCGCGAAAAATGTTCTTTTTTTATGCTTTTTCGAACGAGGTATCACAAAGGGGGTCTTCCCATTTCAAAAAAAAAGTTAGGGTCCGTAACCCCCCAAGGAGGGGTCCCCCAAAATTTTGGGGGTCCAAAAAGTAGCTCCCTTTGATCTAGGAACACCCTCCAAGTTTCAAATCTCTACCTCAATTAGGTCAAAAGTTAGAGGGGGGGGGTGTGACGGTAATTTTTCCGTCACTTAAGTTTCGAATAAGGAATCACCTAGGAAATTTTGTTTAATTTTAAACCGTGCCCAGATTTAATCATATGTAAAAATTTCGATGGCTACAGCTGTAGCAAGTGATTGCGACAGTAGCGCATTCTGTAGGAACGGCGAAGTACCGCAGTACACCGGTCGGCCGCGCGCCACTCGAGCGCTCTCGCGGAGCGATCTGGAACCTCTTGTACCCGACTACCCAGCTGTCTAGCGTGTGCACGGTGGCTCAGTCGCTCAGACTTCTGAGAAAAAGTTGGTTATTTATTATTTTAGCTTAATTAATTAATTGTTTTCACCAAATTTACTAAAGGAAGTCGCGAAGCTAATCTAGGCAAGTAGTTTGATGTAAGGAAACAATTTATTTAATAGTATATTTAACTTATTGGAGTCGGATGAAGTTGGTCGACGTGTACGGAAGCTAGATGAAATGAATTTGATGGGGTCCCGACCGGTGCTTCACCGCAGTCATCCGACCAAGATGAGTTAAATGCTTAATCGGATCCTTTCCATTGCAGAGCTGTGCACGTGATGAGTAGCACGCTTGCAATGGAAAGTACAAATTCTTCTTGTAATTAATTGCTTGTGTGACGCATCCAATTTCGGGTAGCTCCTACAGTAAATAATTACATGAGATTTCTACTATTACCCTCGTATTGAAATTTTATTTTAACGAATATTATTTGTATTTGGAGACAGACTGACATTAATTTAATTATGGCAAATAAATCTCTTATAGCGTGTCAGATTCCAAGAGTGCACGTGGTGAGTAGCACCTGGAGCTTTGGTCGCTATTTGAATTTATTTGGAAAGTAGTTATTTTGAATCCTAAATCGACCATTCAAGATTGAATGCACGTGGTGAGTAGCACCGGTTGTCTGGGAGATTTAAGGTCAAATAAATAATCAAAGAGAAATTCATTGGAAAGTCCGAAAACATTTTTTATGTCCCTTTTACCGTTCCTTTCAAAGTAATTTAAAAGTCAATCCGATCAACTCATTCGTCTTCACTCATCCTAATCTTGATCTCGCATTTAGTTATTTTTTTTGTTTTGAGAATTTTAAGTTTATAATTGTGTTTAAGAAATAGTTTTCTTTTCTCGTCAATAAAATTGACTCTAGTACGTTCAAATTTGCTCTCATTTTTTCCCTCCTGCCAAGCCTGTCCTCACCTCAGGAAAATCACCTCATTACATTTTTTGATCGCGCACCTCGAGTGTTTTGGCGCCCGAACCCAGGCGTCCCGACGAGCATCTGGCACCCTAAATTTGTGGCTTGATCAGCTGAAGCTCGATCCTTTCCGGAAGGCTTGCTTTCTGACGATCAGGATCGTACGAGTTCTCACTTTTCCTCGCCACAGGGGGGAGGGGACTTTTCGAACACCCTGTATGATGAAAAGTAGAATAGTATTACACAAGAAAAACTTGATTAATTTTAATTTGTATAGAATTTGTTGGATCACAAGTTTCAATCGCAGCGGATGTACTCTTCAAGAAGTTGATGGTTTTCTTGATACTGTCTTCATTGGAGAGGTGTGACTTGAGGTTTAGATCTGGATCGAGGTATTTTCCTCTGTCCTTTTCAAAAAGACTGCAACGACAGAGAACGTGCTCGACTGTGAGTGCAGTTTTGCAGGGATTCCAGTGAGGTTGATCCACTTTTTTGACGAGGAATTGGTGAGAGAAATTAGTGTGACCGATGCATAGTCTTGTTAGTATGGGTTGCTCTTTGCGAGTGAGGTTATTTGGTGGCTGAATGAGCATTGTGGTTAGGTCTACTGGATGATTTTTGGTTTTCTGGTATGTTCCCATTCCAGCTCCCACTCATTGAGGATTTGATGCTTGATTGAAGTTGCAAGATCAGCTAAAGTAGCTGAGAGTGGATAGAAAAGGCCGACGGTGAGTGCAGCCTCTTTGGCAAATTTGTCCCCTTTTGTGTTGCTAGGGATTCCAACATGGCAAAGTGTCCAAATTAAAGAGATATGGAAAGCGTCTGACATGAGGGAGTGCAGCAGGTTGAGAATTTGGATTACTAAAGGATCGGCGCTAATGAAAGTAAGGCTATAAGGACACTCAGGGAACCCGAACAGATCAGTGTTTTCTTGGTTGTAGTTTCTTGGACATATTCAACATGTATGTTGTTCATGTATGCATGTATGTATGTAACAAGGTGGTGAAATGGTGCTGGGTTCACACCATTTTGCGGTGAAAATAAAGCCAAAAAATTCCAAAAATACAATCAGAGTCAAAGATTTTATTTTTATATTCTCTACCTTATTTTCCTTGAATTCTCGTGTTCTTGACAGGAACATTTTGTGCAAGTTATATGCAACCAAGAGTACCTGCTTTTGCCAATAGATGAAGTATGTAAACTGCTAGAATCTGATAATTTGAACGTGCCCTCCGAAGAAACAATTTTTCAGGTAAAAATGTAATGGAAGGATTACATTTCCCATTTTAATTTATTTATGTATCTTTTTATTTATTTATTTATTTATTTATTTAATTATTTATATATTTATTTATTGTTTCGTTCGTTCGTTCGTTCGTTCGTTCGTTCGTTCGTTCGTTCGTCCGTCCGTCCGTCCGTCCGTCCGTTCGTTCGTTCGTTCGTTCGTTCGTTCATTCCTTCATTCATTCATTCATTCATTCATTCATTCATTAATGCATGCATGAATCCGTCCGTCCGTCCGTCCATCCATCCATGCATTTATCCGTCCATCCATCCATCCATCCATGCATTTATCCGTCCGTCCGTCCATCCATTTTATTTAGAAACTAGCGACCCCTATATGCTTCGCACGCAGCAATCTATGCAGAAAATCCAGCAAAAATAAATTTCATATACCTAAAGGACCCTTTCTCTCTGTTCCCTTCAGTATAAATAAGGGGAGGTCTGATTTTGATAAATTTAACATTTTGCTTGGAAACTATACTATTAAAATCAGGGCAGCTCTTACCGCCTGCAGGGCGCCAAGGAGGCTTCAAGACGATGGAATTCGGATTCCTTTGGGTTGATTCTCTTTTCACTCCCGCAGTCCCCGCGCTCGCCCGACTTGTAATAATTTAGAGAATGGCCAGGTACAAATGATCTTGGGAATTCGTTTCAGAGAAAACCAGTGGCACTATGGTATTCATCGCAAAATTTTACAGCAGAGCGCCCAATGAAGTGCAAATTCCAGAGGCGTGCCAGAGTCTCACTGCTGTATTGAGAAAATAAGAGTGGACCCTGATCAACTTTTAGAATCGTCTCCACAAAGAAGGAGGGGTAGCAGGTAGGCGGAGGGGGATAAGAATAGCATTTTCCTTGGTTTCAGCACGTCCAACTCCGAAGTTCTACCGGAACTCTGATGTATTCTCGGAAATAAGACAAGATTTTGGCGTGAAGAGAAGGTTTAAAGCAAAAAGTCAGAAATTTGCGGTGAAATAAGACAAATTTTTAGGAGAAGAAGTTGCAAAATTTTTTCGCTGGATTTCTGAAAGTTCAGATCGAAGAAAACTGCACTCTTCCTGTCGTTTCATGATAATATTTTTTTTGCCTCCTTATTGTGTCTTGATTTTGTGTAGCACGCTGAAAATAAAAAATTAAAAACAAAAAATTCTCGGAAGAAGAAGGGAATGAAATTCTAGAAAAATTGGAAATGGACCATTGGACGTCAGTGTTACTGCACCAAAAAACCATGCACAATGTCATACCTTTTCACAAGCTTCCAGCTCAATCTCCAAATCTAATTTATTCTTTCCTTTTCTTTTTTCACTTTTTGAACATTTCCATTAATATATCTTTTTCTAGGTGTTAGTGACTTATAAAAAGAAAGAAAAAGATGTAATGAACAAACATAAAATACAGTAGGAAGCAGCAAAGGCTCATGCCCTAGGCCTAGCTCGGCATGAACTCCAAAGCCACATTAAGTTATGAGAAAATCAAACACATTAAACAAATTACAATAATGAAGTGGCATTATAAAACTCTTCATCATGTTCCCTGGTCGTAAAATTGAAATCTCCGTTTTTGAATCTTATGAATAAAATGATTGAACTGCTCCCGCAACCCTCAATCTTCGGCTCCGGCGTGTTGCAGCGTTGAGATGTGCGCTTTGCTTTACCTGGAGACATCGAAGGGTGAAGGGCAACAGAAAGGCGGGGAGGGGAAGTCCACGCATCGAACCAACGCGTGCCGTGATATTTGCTCATTGCTGGGTCCTGGTTCAGTTGATGTAATAAGCCGGGTCTTTTGTACCAACTCAGATGAGCTAATAGATTCCAGCGTCTTATTGAATCAGTTCGAATATTTCCGACCCGAAGCATCGGCCTCACTGATGAGTGCTGTAGGGGCGAATCAACTGCTCCGCTTCAAGTTCCTCGGATACTGAACAAAAATGCTATACCTACCGTCCGAGTTCTGGGCCGATATTCATAACCCAAACTGAATCCAGCTTCGATGGGATACTGATCGCTGAGTTGATTGAACACGGGATTTTTGAGCTCAAAGAACTTTGCATCTTGGACATGAAATTTTGAAATAAATCCATGAATACGCATGTTTATTAACGAAAAATACCATGGGATCCTGCATTCCAATATATTCCAATTTTCTAAGCCTCTTGTAAAAGTCAATTTTTTAGGCTTCATTGAGCTGCCACCATCCTGGATCTTATTTTTTTAGAAAATTCGTGCATATTCGTGTTCCAAAGCCTATGAGGTATGCGGTATGCGGAGGTATGAGGTATGCTATGAGGAAACTCGAAAATCAATATGACAGCCCTTTTTATTGAACTTCTACCTACAGTGACTCTCGATAATTCGAAATTGAAGGGAATCGGCTTTTTCTTCGAATTAGCGAGGTTTCGAAATAAAGAGAGTTCGAATTAAAGAGATTCCATGTGGAAAAATTTCGAATTAGAGAGGTTCGCATTATAGAGGGAAGGCGCCATCTGAATTCGAATTATACAGGGTGTCCGGAAGTTAACGTACTTAACTTTCAGGATCGCTTTTTCGGCTCAAAATAAGATTTTTTTTTCCTATACACATATGCCCGAAAACGCCTCATACGTGAGCTATGCGCTTCCAAAGTTGCCATTTTTTTTCGTTCAAATTAATATAGCTCCTCGTCTTTTTTTCATAGGTGGTTGAAACTTTGTTTTGGGGGTATTTTTTAGCGCTCTATTCATTTTTTGTGTTTTCAAGGACGTACGTCTTCGAAAAATGACGTCACAAGCGTTCCCGAATTTGAAAATTGCGATAACTTTTTTGGTAGATGATATTTCGAAAAACGGATTACGGCACGTGAAAGAGCGTAAAAAATCAAGGGGTCAGGGTACTGCACAAAATTTTCCAGAAACGCGTTATTTCGACGCAAAAGAACTTTGAAAAATTTTAAGATTTTCGAAGCTCCTTGCTGTGTAGGCAATTTTTCCTACAAGGATTGAAAAATTGCCTACAGAGCAAGGGGCTTCGAAAACCTCGAAGCTATTGAGACGGCTCCCTCACACTTTTTCCAGGCTTGGGACTGGCCCGAGCATCATCCTACGAAAATTGCGGTTAGGCGGCGATATTTTTGGTATCAAATATCCACCGAAAAATCATACTCGGAGGCTTATCGAAAACATGGTTTCAAAGTGTGGTAGTTTCGTAGCATAAGTTTAACAAGTCATGCTTAATAATTACTTGTGAATGCTCGGGGCGGTTTAAAAGGTTTTTTTTGTTTTTTTTTTTTGGTTTTTTGCATAACAAATGGACGATATCAACAGTAAAATTGAATGGCCCAGTTCACCCACAGGTTTTGTTCAAAATGGGAGCCGTTTACTGCAACGCATGCGTTGTATCTTTTCAAGAGAGACGTTGTCGTCGCTTTTCTCGAGTTTTTCGTCGAGCCTTATCGAAAACATGGTTTTAAAGTGTGGTAGTTTCTTAGCATAAGTTTAACAAGTCATGCCTTAATAATTACTTGTGAATGCTCGGGGCTGTTCAACGCCGCTCCTCTCAATGCAGAGATTCGTGATATCTGCTCTGCACTTATTCATCGAATTTCTTATTTCATGTTCAATGGCAGATCTTGTAAGTACTTTGGGTGCAGTGAAAGGTTCGGAGATTAAATTCAATTCATTTACTTATGTTGATGCTTGCCAATGTGTGTACTGTCGCTCGAAATGATTACCCACACAGTAGCGCGAGAATAGCTAAGAAGCGGATTTTTTCGTATTAAAGAAAAGAAACAACAAAGAACAGTAATTAAACCAAAAAAAATGCGGATAAGTTACCTCCAGTGAGGGGGGGAGGGGGTGTTCTGCATTAGTAAAAGAACTGCCTCGTACAAAATTTCAGGCCAATTGATCAACTTTCAGGGGTCGCATCAGCCGAATTTTTTAAATAATTTTTTCAGTGGGTAGAAATTCTTCATTTGCACTCCACAAATGTGCATTATGGTCTCTCACAACCTCCCATAGCACGTGGCAGCGTTATGATGAGCGCTCGATCAGATTAAAAATTGAATTCTGATGGTTTTTTCCTCCTCACATTTTGATATACCGATTTCGCAGCACATCAATAATCTTGCAGTTGCAATCAATGTCTTATCATTGTTTCACTATTTGAATATCTTCATCGAATTTCGACTTTGTCAAAGTATTTCTTTTCATTGAGAAAAGCACGCACTACGGATTGCATGAGATACTGCACGGAGAAAAAAACTTCGTGCGTGGGACCCAAAGTTTAGGTCATATGGATCTCTGAAGTTTTCGGATTGAGCATCCGAACACTTAAGGTCTAGCTGCTGAGGTTTGGATCACACATCCGAAACTTCAGTTCTTACATCTAAAGTATTTCAGATGTGAGAACCGAAGTTTTTCGGATGTGAGAACCGAAGTACTTCGGATGTGAAAACCGAATTACTTCCACACTTTGAAACCATGTTTTCGATAAGCCTCCGAGTATGATTTTTCGGTGGATATTTGATACCAAAAATATCGCCGCCTAACCGCAATTTTCGTAGGATGATGCTCGGGCCAGTCCCAAGCCTGGAAAAAGTGTGAGGGAGCCGTCTCAATAGCTTCGAGGTTTTCGAAGCCCCTTGCTCTGTAGGCAATTTTTCAATCCTTGTAGGAAAAATTGCCTACACAGCAAGGAGCTTCGAAAATCTTAAAATTTTTCAAAGTTCTTTTGCGTCGAAATAACGCGTTTCTGGAAAATTTTGTGCAGTACCCTGACCCCTTGATTTTTTACGCTCTTTCACGTGCCGTAATCCGTTTTTCGAAATATCATCTACCAAAAAAGTTATCGCAATTTTCAAATTCGGGAACGCTTGTGACGTCATTTTTCGAAGACGTACGTCCTTGAAAACACAAAAAATGAATAGAGCGCTAAAAAATACCCCCAAAACAAAGTTTCAACCACCTATGAAAAAAAGACGAGGAGCTATATTAATTTGAACGAAAAAAAATGGCAACTTTGGAAGCGCATAGCTCACGTATGAGGCGTTTTCGGGCATATGTGTATAGGAAAAAAAAATCTTATTTTGAGCCGAAAAAGCGATCCTGAAAGTTAAGTACGTTAACTTCCGGACACCCTGTAGAGGGGCAAATGGACGGATTTACGCCAAAAGGTCTTTAGGTCAAAGGCCAAGCTCTTTCAGACACCCAGGTACATAAACAGTTGACTTTGAATTGTAGAGGGAATGTATCGTCTTATTTCGAATTATAGAGGGAGGCCCATATTTACTTTCCACACTTCGAATTACAGAGAGAATTTTCGTCGCAATTTCGAATTATAGAGGGTCGCACCAGCTTAAAAATTTCGAAATAACGAGGGGAGAAAAATACATTGATTTTTTTCGAATTATCGAGAGATTTTCAAGAGAAACAGACTTTCCTTCGAATTAACGAGGTTTTGGAATTATCGAGGTTCGAATTATCGAGAGTCCACTGTATTACAGTTTTTCTCCTAATTGGCGTAATCTTGGCCACCGCCATTTTCGATTTGAAAATTTCGAAAATACTCATGCATATTCGACAATTCGTGTCGTTCGCCAACTTACGGCTAGAATTTTGGCCTCACAGCCCGTAGTGGGACGGAGGGAAGATCGCGAGATCCGACCTTATCGAACATTGCCGACCTACAGCCAACCCACGGGGCGAGACCGAGAATCTCGAGGTCACGGCGCACATTGGTTCCAGGGCCCGATCTAGGTGGCATTAATTAGAATATCACTGATGATGACATGTAATATATGTTTCTAGAGGTTCTTTGGGTCACTAATTATGAATTTGAAGTCAATTTGACCGTATCAGTTAGCATAAGGTGGTAAATTTGCATTTAGCTCGAAAATTCATACTTAATACTGCATTACTAATATTTTAACATGGCTTGGTTCCTGGACTGATATATTTTTCAACTTTTTTTTATTGATCATCAAAAACTATCGATGAACTTACGAGGATTTGTCCTCTAATTACTAATTTTTTTGGATGGGGGGGGGGAGCAATGTTGTATAGCTTTGTGAACAAGGAATTAGTATGGTAAAATATACCTAGTAAATTTTGTGGTTTCCTTGAGGACTATCAATTTCAGTACCAAAGAAAACGGTTTATTCCACTAATCGAGTTTTTCATACTGTGTGGACAAATCAGCGTAAGAAGAACTCTATTTGAACCTCAACGCTCGCTGATTTATTAATTCGCAGCGCTTTAAAACCAACATGAATTTTGAAGCTTTTTAATTTAATGGTACAATTTTGCTATCAGAATTATTATGTTATCAAAATAACTATGAATTAAAATTTGATCTCCGTCAATAATTTAAAAAATACTTTTAAATTCATATTACGCGGCAATTTAAACATATGTAACAAAAATATTCTACTTGAACAAGAAGTATGTTCACTCAATGAAGGAAAGCAGAAACCAAAATTAATAACAAAGTATTTTGAAAGAAAAATGATTCCTGTCTGTAAGAGCAGGAAAATATTCATAGGTATAATACTCGTATTTCATTACGCAGCAAAAAGAGTGAGGTGTCACATTTGCTTTTTTTCCCTATTTAAACAAAATATATGAAGTTGTGAGCTTGCGATGATTTCAGAGCCTTTCAAACCTGAGAGAATAAAAACACGAAGAAATCATGAACCAAAGAAAGAAATAAGCATTCGTTGTTAAGTCAGAGGACATTTACTCATACAATCACGGAATAATGCGCGAGGAGTGCAGTAAGCTCCTCTCCTGTGGAACAATGCTATGTCTATGGGCCTCTCTAAAGGTAAAGACAAGGTGAAAAACAATTATCTAAACGATTGTGAGGATTCAAGAACCCACGCGACCTGTATTTTGAGTCATATTGTAAAATTTCCAGTCAAAAAACGGGAACTGTCTTTAGTCTATGGGCTTCTCTATAGGTATAGACAAGGTGAAAAATAATCATCCCAATGATTGTGAGGATTTGAGAACTCACGTGATTTGCAAAAAATGCAGTAGGTATTCATATCCTCCAAGATCTGGAGTCTGCAGTAAGCTCCTCAGTATGTCAATTCTTCATTTCTCGAAGACCGGTTTTGGGATTTCAAAGTGCGCTAACGTCCAGGGACGCAAGTATGCGCAGAATTTTTTTGCTCCGAAATCAAGTGTAGGGTTAGCACTAACTACTACAGTCGGTCTGCACGTGTGCGAACCTACGCATAACCTTTATTTTGAGCCATAATTGTAAAATTTCCAGTCAAAAAACCGGAGCTGTGCTAAGTCTATGGGCTTCTCTAGAGGTATAGACAAGGTAAAAAACAATCATCCTAACGATTATGAAGATTTGAGAACCCACATGACCTGTCAAAAATGCAGTATTCTTCTTCCCAAGGATCTGAGGTCTGCAGTGAGCTCCTTAGTATGTTAATTCTTCATTTCTTGAAAGCCGGTTTTGGAAATTCAAAGTGTCCTAACCCCCAGGGACGCAAGTATGCGCAGAATTTTATTGCACTAAAATCAAGTGTAGGGTTAGTACTAACTACTACAGTAGGTCAGTATGCGTGCGAACCGGCGCAAGACATTCATCTAGAGCCATTTTTGTAAAAATTTGCTTGAAATTAGTAGAGAATAACGCTATGTCTAGCGGCTTGTCTAGATGTATAGACACGTTTTTGAAGGATAGTAAAAACGTATAAACCTTTGACATGCCTTATATTTTTGATACACCATAACAGGACACTTCACATTTGCATCTATTTCTGTATGATGAACTTCAAATCATAGGACCAAACAGTAAACACTAAAATCTGGTGTGAGTCCGCTCGAAAGTACCTCGCGGCCTCACCTCTAGGTGCATATCATTTCCTCATTAGTGATCCATTCTTCATGATATTTGGCCAAGGTACTCTCTAGAGTATGCACTATCAATCTGTGGTGTCAAATTTTAATTTTTGCAAAATTCATTTTTTCGAATTAATGCCACCTAGATCGGGGTCTGGGAACCAATGTGCGGCGCGGCGGACCGCCAATTATTTTATCATCATTATATTACAGCTCTAAGCGCGCCTAAAAATTGCCGGAAATTCGCAGGAAATTCGTGCCAGGAATCCCCCCGCGCGACGCACCGCGCAGACCCAGCGACACCGCTCACCGCTCCCAATGACAGCCTCCCTCCTCCCGCGCGACCCGCCGTGCAGGTCCACCGACCGCTCTCCGATTGATTCTCGAATTTTCTCGAAAAATCGATTGGTGTGCCATAGAATATTCTGGAAGGCTCTGGAACATTCCGACCCGGGCAAGGTATTCCGGGCGCGCGAGGCGTGCCCGGAACAGCTATTATACATAACCCGTGCCTCTAAAACTAAAATAAGAAAGAACGAGGTAATAATCAAACGAACAGGCAGAATAAAATGAAACAGCTGAATGTACCTTAGGTTGAAGAAAAAACACTTAAGAGACAAATTTAATTTAAACAGGCAAGTAAAAACTAAGAAAAAATGAAAACAAAGAGATCTGGATAGGAATGAATCAAGAAGGAGGAAGTCGTGACAGAGATCCAAATTTTTTTCAAACCACTTGAAGGGGCCAAGTTTCTCGCCCCCAAAAGACTGTGGTAGGAGGCTGCTCGCATCTTGCAGCTTTGAAAACAAAAATAATATAAATAACCCTTTAGAATAATATTTGTAGTTTCTGGGAAAAATCAAAATTATGTCAATTCGCCCATTTGCTGCCCGCTAAGCCACAGCTTTCAGTGCCATGCAAAACCAGGGGGCGACCCCCAGACGCCAAACTCTCGTGCTGCAAGTGATCTTGGCTTTCTTTACGAGTCACATTACTTTTACCATCACTTTGAGCAAGTTAGAGAAAGGCTTAGAAACAGCTACCGCTTGTTACCCTGTGACACTCTCCTAAAAGTCCAAGAATATCCTATGGAAAGTTCTGGATATTATGTGGGAAGGGCCTGAATTCACTCGTACATCATTTAGAGAAAATTTGAGAGAGTTTCAGAAAGTTCCAAAAAAACTGCCGTCGTCAGCTACCTTGTGACACCTTCCGAAAAGCGGCTAATTCTAGAAAGTTCTGGAAAGGAATAATGAACGTCTCCTTTACTTATGAGTCACTTGGAGAAAGTTCTAAAAAGTTCTAGAAATAATTACTACTTTTCGCCTCATGGTATCTCCCGTAAATCTGGGAAAAGTCCCAGTAGAGAGAGCCGGAGGTCCAGTCGCCGGTGATTCGTGGACTGAACATCAGTGGACTCTCTGCAAAGGCTGGACTGGGCAAGAGATTTGAGGGCTGCAGGGACAGTTCAATTATTTTGTTTTTACGTTATTAATTAACACAACATGAAGCATTTCTGCCTTGTGTTGAGTGACAAAAAGGTGGTTCTGATATAAATATGCGTAAAAATTTTTATTCCATTCAATTTGAGGGCGGAAAACTGTATATGCTTAGCCCGAATTGTAAACTTCTTACTCACGTCAAAATTTTCTAATTGTGTTTTCAGGCTGTGATGATTTGGATTAGTCATGATAAAATCAACAGGAAGGAAGGTGCCGCACGGTTGCTGGAGCTCGTGAGACTCCCACTTATTTCTCCCTCCGTAAGTTTTCTCTTTTTATTAGTGTATTTTCCGAGGAAAAGACACCATTGCATTCTCCCATGATGTCGGACTCAGACCTGAGACATTGTGAAGAGCACCGATCATGGGTTGTAGATCAGGAAAATATATGCTATTGTACGTATGTATGTATGTATGGTTGGTTGGTTGGTTGGTAGATACGTTTATTTGGTGCTTTTAATAATTGAGCCATTAACACCTTAGAGGAGAGATGAAAATATAGTACAGAATTTGAAAATCTAAAAAGTAGGGGTCACAAAAAGGTAGTACAAAATCAAGAGTTAGGGTAAGGATAGAGCACATTAAATTTGGAGATTAATTCGTTTGAAAAAGAGAGAGATTTCATGAAAATACTTTGAAAGGATGGTATGGAGATCAGAAAGTGGAGGGAAAATTTTGGATCTTAATTGTTAATATGTAGGGCAAGACTTGCCTTGCTGTTAAGTGGCGGCTCATTTATGTGCAAAATTTTAACTTTTGTTTTTTGTTTTTTCTCGGCGTTTGAAAAAGGGAATGTGAAGCCCGAAACGTCCCGTCCAAATTACTTTTATTTACAGCCTGTACCCCGTGTTCCTCTCATTTCATTTACATTTTTTGGGCTGATTAAATTGTTACCCATACTATATGTATGTATGTATGTATGTATGTATGTATGTATGTATGTGTGTATGTATGTATGTATGTACGTATGTATTTCTGCCTTTTTAAGAGTTTTCGATTTTTGAGTAGTTATATCTTTCTTACATTGAAAGATATTTTGACCAAGTTTTTTGTATTTAGTAGAGACTCATTAAAACTGCTATTCTGCGAGAAAAAAATTGAAATTTGAGGCAATAGATTTTGAGGGGTGGGGCTTGAAAGTGGTGGGAGGTCAAATCTTGTCCACTCAATAACTCAAAAATCTCCGGCTGTTTGTGTGCTAAGGAGAAGGCCATTTTAATTCTTAGTTTTATGTTCAATGATACAATAAAGCAGTCAATTTGCTGTCACCTTTTCAAATTGGTGAAGTGGCCAGGCAAGGGCTCATACAATCATCAACATGGGAGCCACTTGTAATATAGGATTATCCTGTATTGTTCTAATTTTCTGAATTAGTTTCAACTAACTAGCTTTAAGTAACCTTTTCTTTGACCCCCCCTTTTTTTTCCTTTTCCTACTCCTGGATCTTGCGTCGGTTACTCGATCTGAGGGATTTTATCCCTTGCTATCGGCACCTTCCTCGAGGTCCTTTGCTCTCGTGTTGGAGACTGATTCAAGGGACATATCCCTCGCCATCGCCTCCTTCCCCGAGGGCCCCCCCCTTTCCTTTCAGGATATTTCTCAGGCTACTTTACGAACCATTACAATATCATCTCCTTTTAAATGATGAATCCAAACGGTATTGCCATCAAATTTTTTGGGTGCCCGATTTTTTTTTTTTTTTTTTTTTTTTTTTTTTTTTTTTAGGGAAGGAGTGACATTTTTTGGATTGAGCCGAAATTTTGTACAAAAATATTATTTTTGTTTTATTGGAATCGATATGAGACGATACTTGATACCCTTGGCTAAGGTGATATCTCTACTTGTTGCTCAATGGTACGACCGCCACGGACCTCTTAGAGTCTATATCTCAGGAGCATCTGAAAGAGCAATGACGTCAAAGATGTCAGTGCGATGCCAGGTGCTTCAAGGTAAATGCTCCAAGACGTTAATATGCACGCTTGAGCTTGCATCTGCAAAAGCAACGGCTCTCGACCCAAGGTGATGGACGCATCATGAAATGCGGACATAGAACCGTAGACTCCTTGGCTCGCCATTCCATGACAATCTTCTGTTGCTGTCCTTGGTGCATGTTCTAAATTGTTTTTTCTTTCTCATTATGTTTTCATAATGATAGGGGTATTTTTTGTTTAGTTCATTGCTGATTTGATCGAGCCGGAGACAGTTTTCCGTGATGATAAATATTGTCAAGATTTAATCATGGAAGCCATGAAGTACCATTTGTTGCCTGAGAGAAGGCAATTATTGCAGTCACAGAGAACTCGGCCACGCAAATCCACTGTTGGAGTCTTATACGCTGTTGGAGGGATGGAAGTTACCAAAGGTTTGATATTGTCATGAACTTTTGTTGTAGCAAGCATATTGGAAATGAGAACATAGAGGATTAGACTATAGACACGAGCAGTATTAAGTGAAGTACATTAGCAATTGCAAATTAGAGGATCTTACAAAGATAAGAATAAGGGAGTGGTTAGCACCAATCGTGCACTCGAATACGTACTACCAACTTGAATAGGTCCTACCGATATAACACTAATAGAACAGGGACAGATTGTATAAGTCCAACATTTCTCCTCTACCTGGCCAATAAAAAAGAAATCGCAGGCTGAAGAAAATATTATACAAAAAGATACAAGAAATCTAAGTGCCTGTATTAAAGGATTTCAGTTCATGATTAAATCAGTAAACAATTGAACAAAAAGAGTTTAACTGAACTATATTTAAGGATTTGGCTCTCTTCCTTAGAAAGATATTACATTAAAAAAAAATTAATTTATCAGGCCAAAACCTTTCACGCAAAAATTTAGTTTGGAAGCTGGAACTGGTTTTGTGAGAGCGTCAGCAATCATTTCATCATCGGGTACATAAGATACTTTAATATTCTTGTTTTTTATCTGTTCTCTAATGAAATGATATTTCACGTCAATATGCTTGGTTCTTCGATGGAGAGTAGGGTTTTCTGATAAATTTAGAGCACTTTAACTATCACACCAAAAACACTTCAGTGTAAAAATGACCCGCCAAGCTAAAAATATAAATATCCGTCGCCCAAAATACGATGATATCACACAAGGTAGACGCCAAGTAAAGTTCATGAATACAAATTTTAAGTTTCTCCTCCCTCCAACATTATTACCGGAAAAACGAAAATTATAGACAAAAAAAAATAATTTAAAAAAACCGATACAAATTTATCATTTTTTTTGTACAATTGTACTACAAAAAATGATAAATTTGTATCGGTTTTTTTAAATTATTTTTTTTTGTCTATAATTTTCGTTTTTCCGGTAATAATGTTGGAGGGAGGAGAAACTTAAAATTTGTATTCATGAACTTTACTTGGCGTCTACCTTGTGTGATATCATCTTATTTTGGGCGACGAATATGTATATTTTAAGCTTGGCGGGTCATTTTTGCCCGGAAGTATTTTTGGTGTGATATCATGAAGTTTTTCGTATAAATGATCACAAACAAATAAAAGGAGCAGAATGGTCTGATTTTTATACATTTATTTCATTATCAAGAGTGGCGGTAGCCAACCCCGGTCGAGGAAAATGACGTCCTACTAAAGTCCCGATAACAAACGGGTGGCAGACACTCTTAGTCATAGGCAACTCCCTTAATCTGAAAATTTATTCGGTTGCTATTTGACTGCAGCCTAAACGACAGCACGGATTCCTACGATCTTGGTGTCTACGGACGCATCTCAATTAGGACTACCAAGTGGAAGAGTTTCATTAAGATCCATTGAGTTTTCAAAAAGTTATAAGCACTCAATGACTCAAAACGAGGAAAATTTTACTTTTTACTTTGCCGGGAAATTTGAATTTCAAGAGTCCAGGGTCCTGAGAAAGTCACTCAAACTCCGCGATAACGGTAAACCTTAGACCCATAAAAGTGGGTACCTAAAGAATCGCCATGTTACCGCGTCCACGGGTTTTTACAGTTTTTTAACATTCCTAGTGTTCTAAAAGAGAAATTACGGAAAATACGACTAAACCGACTGAAACCTACCCGTCATGACCATCTTTGACAACAGATTTCTAGCTTACACGGCCATAGATTGTAATAAAGCCTATATAAAGGGCACTCCTTGAAGATATAAGGATTTCATTTCGCCACATAAAATAGGGCTTTATTGCACGGATAATCCAGCATCTGCTCCAATCGTTCAAAATTTTAGCTATAATATTTGAATTTAGAAAAAAAAACCAGTGGTGGTTCAATGCCATTGGTTCATTCTGTTCAGGTCCGTCTGAGTTTCGGGAACGAAACGTCGTCGATTATACCAACCTCCAGCTACTGTATTTATTTGTGAATAATGAACAGATTTAATTTAAAAGTTAAATTCATTTTAGATCCTAACTAATATTACACACTCATATTATTACGCCCACTTTTATCCCGATACACTGCTTCATTGGTTTCTTAAAAGTTTTCAAGTGATTTCTGGTCGATCGTTACCAACCTCTTTAACTAGTTGTGAATAGATTTACCTAATTTGGATAAGAGTTTAATTCTTTGTAGATGCTAACTACTATATTTACATACTCATATTATTACGTCTCACGTGTTCTACTGGAGCCCGATATACTATTACCTCAGTTTCTCTTAAAATGTTCAAGTGATATCTTTATTTTATTGAACGATATGTGACAAATTTTTAAGTGAGGTTATGTCGTCATGTTTATGTCAGTACCTGACCTAAGCGATAGATGTAATTCCGGTAAATTACGTCAACGAAATTACACCGACATTGTGCCAAACTCTCCAAAGGAAGCAGCATTTACATCACAGAATGTATTCTCACTACTAAAGTCTAAAAATTACTGGAATATGAGCCTCGGCCTTCACATGCGACTGTCACTGAACTTCAACCAAAATTTATTCGCTCTATATCTTGCCATCAACCTATGTGCTCTGGAGTGATAATGCTTCTCTGAAGTGTATGTTATTTACATTAAGAACATGTTTCCTTCATGATTTATCTTGGAATCCTCCTATCTCTTCTACCGTTCTTGTTACGCGTGGCTTGTGTACCTGAGTAAGTGAGGCACAATTCCATCCCTTTTCGGAACAGTTCAATCATAGGTCAACTTAATGTCACACAATCAAAGGTCTTTGACTGTGAGCATTTGCTCAACTTGGTTTCTTCCGAGTCTCTGTGATTTTGCGTCAGGAGTTGTTAGAAACTTCATTTTGCCCAACAATGTATAACAAGGTCTTTAATGAAAGGTATGTACCCGTTTTATTCTCATAATTTCATAAGTTGATGATAAAAATACAATGAAGGCTTCATTTTCTTGCATCAATTGCTGTGTGAAATGGGTGCGTCCATTCCTCCTCTATTTCAACGCGTTACAGAATGTATTGCTCATCTGTTTAGAGGACTTCAGTATTAAGATACGTAGGTACGTGTTCCTGCCTAGTTCCATTGGAATAAGTGTGATCATGTTAATCAAGGCTAAATACAATTAGACCCCATGGTATCAATGTAATCATAAATGCCTCTCCACTCTTACCAACTAGGTATGGCATATCCTCCGATCAACAGATGGGATTGCCGTCTCAGTACGAGGGTGAGCCTACGAACCCAGGTATGGTGACCGTAAGTACCGCTCTGGCCTCTCACATTCAGATGAGCCTTTTTTTCTAATGAACTCATGCCAATACTTAGACCTCCAGACTTATTTACTGCATTAAGAACACGTAAGATCATAAATCAAATAGGTCAAGTCAGTTGTCAATCTTTATACCAAGTGCAGGTACCAACATAATTTTTTGTTATTGGGTGGACAAAAGACACTAGCTGCAACGCAGCGATTCATAGATCCAATTGTTCCCAACCGATCTGTGATTTGGCGTCAATCCTTTGGATAAAAAGATCACGATATTTCCATTATTATTAATTAAAAACATCATTTAATTTGACAAGAGTTCTGTTTGCGTTTCCCACTGTCTGAAGTTCAGTAAAAATAAGGACTCAATTGTGGTGGTCACATTCTTCATGATGCAGTTACTTCTCAACCAATGAACACCAGATTCGTTTCATACTTAGAGTTCGCCTTGTAGGATCAATTTTTGATTGGCTCTTGCATTTCGGTTAAAGCGGAAGACTGAGTATGAACCATGGAAGGAAGGGTACAACAAGAAACAAACGGAACGAGAGAGGGAATATAAGTAGGAAATGGTAGGAAAGCAACAAGAGCAAAATAAACAAAACCTCGAAAATAAGAAGGCAAATTTTTATACCGACGAATTTCTACTTCAATCTTAAAATACATTCTCCTGGAAACCCTTGTTCTTTTAGTGCATTTTTCACGATATTCTTACTATTTGCTGCTATACTGTTCTACGTTAAATTGAGACATCGGTCTCATTTCAGTGAAAACTAAGTGCACTCTGTGTCACTGTGCCATTTCTTACTTTGTTCATTCATTGTTTGTGTGTGTCTTCATTTATTTAGGTAAAATATTTTGCTTTATTACATTACATATTTTTGCATGAGAGGAAGAGTACATTTTACATGCCAACAATTTCTGATCGTAAAAGCTGTAGGTGTGTCTTGCTCTTTATACGCATTACCTCTTGTTGTATAAGTTGAGTTTTATCTGTTTACGCAAATTATTTGTACTCGTGTAAGTTGAGTCCTACCCACTTTACTCAAAGAATTTGCAGTAGCGTAAGAAGAGTTTTACCTCTTTACGCGAAAATCTGTACTCGTGTAAGTTGAGTCCCACGCTCTTTACACTAAGAATTTGCATAGCATAAGAAGAGTTTTACCTCTTTACGCCAAAATCTGCACTAGTGTATTTTGAGTCCTACGCTCTTGACACTAAGAATTTGCAGTGTCATAAGCTGAGTTTTATCCTTTTATGCAAAGAATTTCTAATTGTCTAAGTTGAGTTTCTTGCTCTTTACACGTATTATCTCTCATCGCATAACTTGAGTTTCACTCTTACTTAATGCAAAGTATTTCTAATCGTATAAGTTGTGTTCTCCATACGCATTATTTCTCATCGCATAACTTGAGCTTCACTCTTTATGCAAATAATTTCTAATCGTATAAGTTGAGTTCTGCTCTATATACGCATTATTTCTCATCGCATAACTTGAGTTTCACTCAAAATAATTTCTAATTGTCTAAGTTGAGTTTCTTGTGCTCTTTATACGTATTATCTCTCATCGCATAACTTGAGTTTCACTCTCTATGCAAATTGCCTTCAATTGCATAGATTGTTGAGTTGTACACAAAGTTCCGTTGACTCCCTGGTCATCAGTCAATTTTTAGAAAGACCTGGAGCAAGGTAAAACTGCAATGCCGAGCAAAGCACAACAGCAGGCGAAAGCTTAAAGGAAATAAGCGCAGCATGCTACTAAGCAATCAGATGTTGCGCTTCCTACAGTTACTGACGATCTCAACTATTGGAACAACCCTCTTTCGACTTTATTTTTAGTTGATAAAAAGACAAAGAAAGTCAATGAGAAAAAGATCCTATCATAAGTTACGGAAGGCTCTTTCAAAATGTAATCATTCCTCAGGTGAAAATCCACTTGAACCGGAAGATGAGTCACCATCTTGTGTTTTGGAAGGAGCCTCTGTTGCTGAAACTGAATACGTCAGACTTCCAGTCATTCAAAGTCAGAGTCAGTCAAAACCTCTATCACAACTAGACTGCATTTTGCAATTTGGACCTATCAATTCCAGCCTGATTAAAAAAACGTATGTGCTATTAGTTTCCCTATGCACATAAGTGTTTTTTCAGATGAGCCAGAATTTATAGGTCCAAATTGGAAAATTCAGTCCATATTGTTCTCCTGATTTTGCGTCTGTTCGCCTCCAGGATCAGTTGAGCAGCCATCCAATTTCTGGGTCTTATGTTCAACCCCCCAACTCAACTCTTATGTGGATCTTATTTTCGTGCTTCCACCATGCGTGAATTATCCATAAACTGCTTTGTCCAATGGTAGTTGGTGAGGATAGAAGCAACTATAAGGGGAGATGATGGAGGTTGCTTTATATTTTTTTTATGACACTGGAGCTTACACGCATCAAAGTAGCGACTAAATAAAAATGTCTAGAAAGAAGCTGCGAGACGAAAACTTCTTACTTTTACTAGACATCTTTCAATGAAGCTCCTTTTTTACAAGGTCTCATAGCAAAGGTTATGAGAAAACAAATTGTACCACTAATAGAAAAACGGACAAAAAAAATCATCTGAATAAATCATTTTGTCTAAAATTGATTGGCGAGGATAGAAGCGACTATATGGGGAGATAAGGAGGTTGCTTTGAGAAATTCAATAAAACTACAGGTAATAAATGGTCTATTTCACCGAATACTTCGGTTTTGCTAGCTCTTCGTATAGACAGACCTTTAGGTACTTATCCACCCAAAAACGACCTGATAAAAACTACAAAAACCCTCAAAAACATTTTTCGGGCAAAAAATCCGGTCGAGGAAATTGACGTGTCACTTCCTTTTAATCAAGTATAAGATAAGCAAAACCTTTGATGAATTCCCAAGGTCCACTAAGACTAATAATTAATCATCAAAAAGTTCCAAAAACTTACTCGAAAGGAAAAAAATAAAATGAAAAATAAATCCCTTGCCAAAAATAAATAAAAAACCGATTCTGAGATAATTCCCTCGAATGAACTTGAAATCACAAAATCGGTCGAGAATGTCAACTGAAATTTTTCCCCCTTCAATTATGAGCTCCGCAACAAGCGTGACTCGCTTGTACCTTTTCATACAGGAGCCGCACGAATTCATCTCTTCTTCTCTCCTCTCCTTCCGTCCATGGAAAGAGGTCCAACATTTTCCGGATTTACTGACGCGACAGGCTGCGGCTCGGTGCGTAAACATGGGTGAAATACTAAGATTACACATAAGTCAGAGAGAAACACGTACAACCTGTCGACTTAAGTGGGGCTCATTCCGGTAAGGGACTCAACTCCTCCACTATAACAATTCCACTAATAATTTTTCGATTCAGAAATCCCCTCACTCGTCCGGACCTAACGTGTCTGTCGAAATGTCATCCAATGGTACAGATGTATCCTATACTTAATTGATAGAGTATAAGAGCAATTATTACTTACAACCTACCTACCGTCCAAAGCAAATGGTAAGCTCCCTTTAAAAAAAATCTATGTTTCAGGTGAATCATGTTTCGAAAAAGTCTAACATGTGGTTATGGAAAAATTGGTCGACTGCATGCAACCGACTTGAAGCCGACTTCAGGGATAAGAAGGCATCGATTCACTCAGAGCATCGAGCTGCAGCCGGTCGCGTCAGTAAATCCGAAAAATTTTGGACCTCTGTCCATGGATGGAAGGAGAGGAGAGAAGAAGAGAAGAATTCGTGCAGCTCGTGTATGAAAAAGTACAAGCAAGTCACGCTTGTTGCGGAGCTCATAATTGAAGGGGAAAAAATTTCAGTTGACATTCTCGACCGATTTTGTGATTTCAAGCTCATTGGAGGGATTTATCTCAAAATCGGTATTTTATTTATTTTTGGCAAGGGATTTATTTTTCATTTTATTTTTTTCCTTTCGAGTAAGTTTTTTGGAACTTTTTAATGATTAATTATTAGTGTTAGTGGACCTTGGGATTCATCAAAGGTTTTTGCCTATCTTATACTTGATTAAAAGGAAGTGACACGTTAATTTCCTTGACCGGATTTTTTGCCCGAAAAATGTTTTTGAGGGTTTTTGTAGTTTCAATTTAAGAGAGATTTGAAAACTTCTGCAGTGTCTGATAAGGTAGGTATTGATGAGCACTTGAAAGGTACCTAATTAATGAAATATAATGTAATTTCTTAACATTTTTAAAGCAAATTTTTAATAAAAATATTGGCCTTTTAGCACCTTCCTCGACTCAAGACCTCGTTTGGATCATCTCCAACTTTCCTCAAGTTACTTTCGCTAGAGGAAGTCTCGAGATTTTCGTGAGGAAGGTCTGAGGAAACTTTCAAAAAAGTGATGATTCTTTTTTCTGGCTGTAATGATTATTCATCAGATGGGCGAGAAATAAAAGTGTAGAAGGAAATTTTTTCTCAACGTCTTGATACTCCTTCTTTTTCTAGAAACATTTTCAAAAAATTAAGCTACTTTTCCCTTTAAAGAGAGACTTGAGGTCATGGATGTCCACTTTCATCCGGGCTTTCGATCATTCATCAAGTCATACTGAGTTGCTGTATTCTTATTTCCTTTTCAAAAACGACTTAAGAGAACTCCAGTCTTACTTCTGAAATGACTTGAGTGACATGCTTTTGAAAACGATATAATTTTGCCTTCATTGCCATTTATGCACTTATTTCGTCAAAAAGGATGTGAGTGGTCTGAGGCTTTTTGCCTCATAAACCTATGCACATTCTGACCAGAAAAGACGTACGTGGCTTTTGGTCAATGTTCTAGAATGGCTTAAGGGGCATTTTTTTTAAACGAGCTAAGTCATCCGATCCTGTATTTTTATTGTTAAAGTAAGATGTACAAACTAGTTTTTTTTTTTTTTTTTTTTTTTTTTTTTAAACATGAGTTGAGAGCCATGCTTTTTCAAAACGACGTAAGTTCTGATTGGTCCGTAGTTAAACTACCCAACACTGAATTTTCGGTTTTTTAGTAAGAAAAATTTCTGAGTAACTCATTATTCCTCCATTCTTTCCTCTCATCTCTAGGCGCCTCTCTACAAAATAAACACAAAAATTAACACATCGGATCAAACGTGACCATACTTTTTCAGTCAAATGAAGCCAAGAAAGGATAAATAATGGATCTCAGATTCCCAACAACTGAGAAATGAGTCTCAGAGGAACATACTTAAAAATAATTTCCACTGGTTAGGCCTCCAAAGAAATGAACTCCTTGAGAAAATTGGAATTCACCTATCAGGCAAAATCCAGTGATAGCATGGGTACCTGGTATTGCTAAAATAGTGATGAACTATTTGAAAGCATGCAAAAGGACACTAACAAAAATATGGACACTCATCCTTTGACATTGTGCACCTTGCCCCTCAAAAAATAAAAAAAAATGTTACCATAAAAACCAGAAAAGAAACGAATTAATGAGAAATGTTTTTAAGGCAGGGTAGAATTAAATGAAAAAATAAGAATTACCTACTTGAATAATCTATTCACAGATCCTGAAGTAACACAGATCAATTTTGTCTGTCAAAAAAAATCATTTGATTGAGGAATTCAAATGTTTCTGAGGAGAAAGAAAGAGATCACTTTTAATTTATGAGTACCTTCACCAAACTTATTATAGCAAAGCAGGTACTCAAACGAAAATACATGTTTCAAGTCAAGGTTGACAAGGAGCTTAAAAGAAAAACTCTGTGCTCTGGAAGAAGGAAAGTTGTAAAGCATGATGTCATAAATACTCACAGGAAATTGAACTCTTTCCACGCGATATTGTAGAAGATTTGAAGGATGAGAAGATACATGGATAAGAGAATTCAGAGGCTGATGTGTTGTGTTGAAATTGACTGCTGTGGTCAATCAATCCATGGTCTCCGCAAATTTTTGAATATCAAATCAGCGGAGAACCATGATTTTTGAATGAAACAGCCATTAGATACCTAGGTACACAAACTGACAAGGTAAATTGCTTTCTGAAAAGGCAGCTATGAATTGGCGATCTTTGTAATTTCTTGAATATGATGCTTGATGAGAATAGCATTCAAACTATGTCCCTTTGCTGCGACGATTAGCGAATATGACTCAGTAAGTACAGATTCTGGGTTCACTTAAACAACTTAGGGCCGGGATCAGACCACGCACATCTTGATTTCAAAGAAGTTTAAGCACTTAGCGTACCAACCCAAAGAAAAGCATCATGATAACAAAGTCCTTGATTATGCAATCAGTTGTGCGCCTGATGCTGTTAAAGATTGCTCATCGCATGTTGAGACTAATGTCATTTTCTGATCAGCTCTGAATCAGCACCACTTAATAACACGTTAATACATGGTAATAGATGGCACCATTGGCGAAATGTGACAGAAACAGTACAAGAGCTTTATATAAACATACACCCAGCGAGCTCTACAACGCAACGCTTACTAGAATAAGATAGATTTTCATGAGCGATACGAAACACTTAATGCAGACAATGTTCATGAATTTAGAGGTCAAGTTGAAAACTAATAGTAAATCATGTTCAGTATCTGGAAGACGAAGAAACATATCATCGTCATAGTCACAAATCAGTTTAATACAGTATTGAGTGCTAAACATTGACTCAATAGAACTTGCGCTTGTGAAAACCAGCTGCCAACTCGACGAATCACAATCAAGTGAGGATATCGTTTATGATGTTTGATAAGTTACCTGAGAGAAAGAGATATTCCTTCGCTATAAATCATATGTAGATAGTAGGAATGAAATAATAAAGCATGGGGTTTCATGGCTAGTACGTAGTTGAGATTGAGACGCGGATGTTTGGATGTGGCTACACCATCAACTTTTTCCGGAGAATAGGTAAACCACGCACTTCCGAAAATTTCCATTCAGAATTCATGATTGAATAAAGGTACATGATGATGATGAAAATAAATAAGAGAAAACAAAGGCTTAGTCAAGGCATAGCAACAGTATAAAGGGGCGCTAGGTCTGTAGTCTGTATCAGCTGTTTCCTCAATGACGATTGGGGTCTGGTGGAGGCTTCAAGTGCTTGAACTATGATTATTTAGGACTAAATCACATGTAGAAACATATGAACTACAGATAAAAAGAATTAATAACTTTAAAACGATTACAATTCACACGATTTTTGACAAATTTGACACTGAACACTTGTGATAACAATAACAAAACCATGAATGGCCGTCGTGCCGCAATTGCGCATGCAAACTCTAGCGTCAGGAATAACTTACGACCCGGGAACTTATGAAAGGAGTCGCTAAACTTTAATTTGACGCACTTTTCCGTGACAGTTATATTCCGAATAAATTCCCAAATTGTTCTTTTATTGACACTGAAAGAGTTTATTCAAGTGTTTTTGTTCTGGTTTGATAAAAAAAAGCGCGCTATTAATGAGAATCGGCAGCTACTTCAAGGCCAGGAGTTCTAGAAAACGAAGGAAGTCCGGTAGCGTTTTATAATCTTTAAAACGTCATATCTCCGTCAATAATAAGTTTTGAAAGATCAGACACCAAAAGGTATGGCCTTTGAATCTTAAAGAATCATCATGCCAAAGTTCAGCATGATCCTTTGAGTAGTTTTTTTGTTACAGGGGGGCAAAAGCTAAAAAACAGCGAAAATCGGCAATTCCTAATATTTTCTGTATATTATACCGTCTGCGGACAGTTATCGGGTTATCGCCCCGCGTATGTGATCTGTGTATCTGAAGTAAGAAGAGGCTTCAGATCAGATACAGAAGTAGAAACGGGTTTACAATCTGCCATGTTGTACTGCTTCAATAAGTTTAAAATTTAGTTCTTGTGGCCTAATTTAATTTCACCCTGCTCTTTATTCCTTGAGATCTTCAGACCAAGGCAATTTGTAGCTTCACCTAAGTTTCGAAATTTGAAGATTTTAACTAGATCACAGCGCAATTTGTCGGCTTCCTTCTTGTGATTGTGGAAAATGAAGAAATCATCGACATGCAGGGCAATAATGATTATTTTGCCATCAAGTTTCTTGAAGTAAACACAGGGTGAGATTGTTTATATCCGAGAGTAATTAGGGTTGTGTGAGCTTTTTCATTTAATCATCTAGCAGACTGTTTCAGCCCATAAATTGCCTTTTTAAGCTTGAAGATTTTATTTGCAGGCACGTTCATTCCTTTGGACGGTTTTAAGAATAGATTTTCTTTCAAATCACCATTCAGAAAAGCTGTTGTGACATCTTGATGAAGTATGTCCAAATCAAATTTTGCCGCTAAAGCAAATAACAAGCGCATAGTAGAATGTCTCACTACTGGAGAGAAGGTGTCTTCGAAATCAATACCTTCTCTTTGCGAGAAACCTTTTGCCACTAACCTGGCTTTGTAGTATTCGATTTTACTGTCAGGGTCTCTTTTCAGTTTATAGACACGTTTGGTACCTACAACTTTGGAGTCCTTAGTCTTGTCCACCAATTCCCACACATTGTTTTCTTGGAAAGATTCAATTTCTTCTTGCATCGCTTTCATCCACTTTTCTTTGTCGCTGCAGTTGATGGCTTACCTGTAAGTTTCTGGAACTTCATTCCTGTTGAATTCTTCAGCATCATGGAACAGAACGTAATCCTTAGTCCATTCAGGAGGTTAATGATCCTCGGCTGTTTTTCCTCATTAACTGTTGACTGAGACGATTTTTCTTCTGTTGGAGAAAATAGTTCTTCTTGTGAGGAATCCTCATCATCTGTGAACAATTCAGGAATCATTTTGCTAACCATGTTTTCATCAGCTTCCAGGGAATCTTCAGATAAAGTTTTGCTTGTATTAGC